TCACAATAAAGGCGAGTTCACAATAAAGGCGCCCGTTGCCAGCCCGGGGCGAGCAGCTCTCCGCAGGGCTGCGGCTCCGTGGAAAGACGATGCGCCTGTGCGGCCGCGCAGAGCGGTGTTAAAAAATATAAATAAGGCGACTTAAAAGTGTGGGTGGGCGAAGAAAAAGGAGAGACAAAAGCTAAAGCGGTTCTTGCCCCGCGTTCGGCTTTTATTAGGTGAAGCGTTCGTGGGGGAGATGGGAATACAGAATGCAGCTGCTATGAAAACAATCCTTGGTTTAGCAAATTTTGACTGCATGGAATGCTTTCCTGAGCCTTCCTTGTCGCAGGGTTTGCAAAATAAGAGGAAATTTTCTTCATCAGACAGCAGCAGTGTACAGAAGTCCCTCTGAAATAGTGTGCTGTGCACCATTCGAGCTTTGTTAGATCCTTCCAGTAATTTAATGAATGGGAGCAGGATGAACATTAATGTTAATTCTACAATAAAGTGCCTTTTTCATCACAGAATGCCAGTCTCGACGTGAGCAATGCTTCCGTGCAACCTGCAGGAACGAGTCCTGGTTAGTGGCAGCACGGATGCCCAGCCTAGGAAAAAGATGACATCCTGTAGTTAAAATGAGACTTTTCCTTTTTTTCACACTGATGTCTAGAGACGACATCATAGGGAGGGAGGAGAGAATTTCTGGGAAATGCGTTGTTTAAAAGGAGGAATCATCAAAAAATAGCCTTTACAAAAAAAAAAAAGGGTAGTGTTTACAGGTGCCGTTCTGTAGTCAAAGCTAATTATGTTGAGAGTGCTGCTGACAGTGAAGATCGATCGTTATCTGCGATAGATTCAGCACAGAAGGTAGATTAACCTGTAAGAACAAATGGCAGTAAGTGTAAAAGCAAGCAAAAAAAACCCCAAAGGCCCAGTTCAGTCTCCTCTTCTGACACTGCTGCTGTTAGGGAAGTTTTCCAAGGGAAAAAGCTCTCCCATAATCCTTACAAAACAAAAGCAATTCTGTGTCAGAAGCAAGGCATAGTCTGGAAGCCTGACCTGTGAACACCATCTATTCAGATTGTAGAAAAGGAAACACACACATCTAGGGTGGTGTCAGGAAGAAAAACGGGATGTTTAAAAAACCCAGTGTGTTTAAAACAGTCTCTTTTATTCAGCAAAAGCCAGCATCTTCCCAGAAGATTCAGAGGAAAGAGCTTTCTACTTGAATGACTATATTGGAACAACTCAAATTTGCAGTTAGAACTGATATTTTATGTTGAGGAATATAAATCCATACCTTCTATGGAAGAGATGAGCGTTGCTGTTCGGTTATCAGGCTCAGAGGGGTTTGGTAACTGTAGTTTTCATATGTATGATAATAGCTGCGTTAAAAAAAAACAAAAACAGTGAACTGTATTAGTTTGTAAAAGAACACTCAGGTTGGTTTTCTCTAAGGAAGACAGTCTTGAGATAGAACAACATAACCACACCATCAATTCCAGGTTTGCTGAGCCTTGTACTGTTTGCAAGCCTCAACTGAAGATACAAAATTACAAGACTTTGGCAAATATTTCAAGTGTATAAAGCGCATAAAACTTGGGACTCGACAACAAAGGCAAGGAACGAACATCCACAAGACCACCTTACCCTTGCTTCTGCTTAGAAATAATTTTCCAGACAATGCCTGCCCCCAGGAGAAGCAGAACCCCTGCAGCTGCTGCTCCTGAGAGAGAAAAGCGGGTGTTATTCCCAGTTTTAAAGCATATCAGCACAAAAGACATAACGAGGCACATCTTCAAAGTCAGCAGAGGGAGACGGTGCCGCTGAGGCCACTGCATAACTAAAGATCTGGCCACAAAAATGTTTCTAAGTTGCTTACCTAGGCCTACTGACCCAGACTTGTGTGACGCTGAAGGGAAGAGAAAAAGAAAAATCAGCAAACTATTCTACCAAAATACAGCATTTCTCAATAGTTAATCACTTTATCAATAAAGCTTTTTTTGCCAAGGCCTACAATACAAGTTCTTAAGAACCACACCATTATGTACTTTTTTTTTTTTTTTTAGCTACAGAAAGAAAATTGCATGTTTAAGATGCATTTGCATGTTCCTGTTTGATCTTTGCTTTGGTTTGATTTCACTCACTCAGTTTACAGGCTGGTACAGGAGGGTCCCAGCTGAAGTCCTCTTGGCACTGAATCTGGCTGATGCCTTCCAATGTGTAACCATCATCACATTCAAGAGTGATGTTAGTCCCAGAGCGATAAGTATTTCCTTTTATGGCTTTCTTAACACCTTGAATTTCTGGGAATACACATGCGATCTCTGAAATTAGAAGCAACAAAAAAAAAAAAAAAGGACATTTAATGAGAAGGAATGTAAAATTCGAGAAATACACCTGTGGGTTATTTAAGATGTTGTTCTTGAATTCTTTCTGATTGTAACAAGGAATTCATTCTTATTCCACAGAGTAATTCCTTTCCTTGTAGCTGCAGAAGAGGTTTGGTGTCTCACTCCCACGTGTGAATATTTGTACAGATCACAGATTTGTACTCCACACGGATATGGCAGATGGGAAGTCGTGTGTAGTAGCAGTACCTTGGGAGAAACCTGCCAGAGAAAGATTTTTCTGATATTGGGCTACCAAAACATTTGGAGAAGAAAGATGTAGCTGGGAAGAATGCAGTGAAGCTTTAGAACTAACTGCCTGTAACTCACTTCTAGTCTGTAGAAGTCCCTTGCCCTTCAAAGATGTCACCAGCCATATTATTTATCAATAATTAATTTATTAATTAGGCCAGCCATCTAAGCTATTTATAGCACTGATTTCAGTGAAGTGAGTTAGTGGCTTTAGTTTAAGTGCCTAATCACCTTTGAAAATCCAAGCCCAAGAATTCCGTAGGAGCAGGTTCTCCATGGAGACCAAAGGGGTAACATTAAGGTGTAACTTTTAACCTTTGTTTCACATCTTTTTTTTCTTTAATATTTATTTTTACTTTCACGTATAATATTTACTAAGGAAACTTCAAAACCACAAGAACGTGGAATGGCAGGGAGAATTTTTCTGTGAGACTGCTTCCTTCAAAGAGCCTCTGACTTATTTACATAAGCCTTTGGTACATTATTTCCTCTCATTGTTATCCAAGCACGTTCCAGCTCTTGAGTCACCGAGGTGGGTGCAACTCCACCGAGGAAGTGCCCTGTGTGGGTGATGAATTTATTCCAGTGAATGTCCAGATTTCCGTGCAGGAACACCCACACTAGGAATCTTGTGACGTTCCAGTTGAGTTTGCCAGAGGCTGACCTTGGCAGTGAGCTACACAGAAGTGCCAAGTCACAGATATAGAGACGTTTTTCCGAGAAAGGCATTGCCAGGCTCACGTGTAATCTATAGACCGTCCATCTGAGGACAGCTTCTCTGATATAATCACTTCCTTTATTTCCTGTTAGTGATAACTGCGGAGTGAGAGACACAAAAAGGGAAGGAAAGGGAAGGGGAAAAACTTTCTACTGTTCTGTTAAAAGTAAAAAACTTTTTAAGGAGGAAAGTTACTCTACAATTCAGTCACAGCAACAAGAGCAGAGATGGAAAACATGCAAGAATTAAAATTGCCTTCCATAATTCAGAGTTCTGCCACCATGAATTCCAAAGCATTTGAGCAAACTAAGCACTAACACACCTTTGCACTGAGGAGCAGGCTGGCTCCAGGTTCCTGACACCGTGCAGTTGATGAAAGCGTTCCCAACGAGGGAATAACCAGGATTGCAGCTGTAGGATACAGATGCTCCATAGGAAAAAGTGTCAGAAACGTTGCCTTTGAGCTTCCCGTTGCTGATGTGTGGAGGATGGAAGCACTTCACAACTGGAAAGTCAGGGAGAGACAAACAACAGTGTTGACATGAGGATCCTGATGGACTGCCAGAGAGTAGCTAAGGCACTGTACCTTCACAGCCTTGATTGTTCCCTTTTAATTTCTTCACCTAGCCTCAGCAACAGATTTTGTAACCCTGTAACTCCATCAGGCTTTGGAAATAGGTATAAACTTGATCTTGTTCTTATGACCTATTCTGTAGTAAATGACTCAGATTTAGTCCTTATACAAACCTTTCCCTAAGGCAAGTCATGTTAAATGTCCTTTCTTCTTAGCTCTCTGCAACAAAAACACACCTTGACAGACTGGAGGAGGATGGCTCCAGGCTCCAGATTGTGTGCAATAGATGGATGCTGTCCCAGTGAGGGAGAAGCTGGGCTCACAGATGGAGCTTACACACGTTCCAGGAGTGAAAAACGCTTTTGCTGGGCCATTGAGAGACCCATGAGTGATGTCTGCAGGCTTGGAACAGTGCAGTACTGAAAAGAGCAAAGTGCAGATCGAAACAGGGCATGTACAGGCAAGAGGGGAAACTTGGGGGCACCTGTGGACTCCCATAGGATTGAATCCAACGAGCAGAGCCAGCCCTGCCCAACCCTCTGCGCCCACTTCACCCCACATCATCTGTAAAGCGTATGGCGTCGCGCACGTTTCTTCTGACACAAGGGAACGTTGCCCAGCATCATCTCTCCTGCTATATCAGATGAGTGGTTAGTTCATATCTATAATGGGAATTCCAAACTTGTAAGACCATCTTATTACAACATCCATACAGGTTCCTTGCAGCTGGCCTAAGTTCATTTTTAAGGTGTTCATACGGAGAAACTGAGGCACAAGATACTGCAGCGATAAGAATGGGAAAAATGGGATAGACGGATCTTCAGATCTAAACACTAGACTCTGGATTCGTCTCGCCTCTTAAATGTGTTACAACACACTACCAAGAGGGATAAGGTCAGAAAGGATAGCTGTCTAAGGACACGTAACACATGCTTTCCTCTTTCATAGATGGGGAGTGAAGGATCCCATGTGCCCTCAGGCTGGCACTGGGACTTGTGGAGGCCTTTTGGGACATCAGCAGTGTTGCATTCAATTGTAATGATGTCTCCAGGCCTAGAGAGAGGCTCCAATCTGATTGCTTTTCCATTCCAAACTCATATAGCCAACTGTGGACAGTGAGGGTGTAGAGAACCCTTTAGACTGAAATTTGTGCAGGATGGAGAGGAGTGTTTGGCCACAGAGACCTCATTCTTGGCCACAGCGACTTCATTCTTGGCCACAGCGACTTCATTCTTGGCCACAGCGACTTCATTTGTTCTTTATTGGTGGAGTTTGTTGAAGCAACAGCTTGTTTCAGCAAGTCCTTAGGCAAATATCGCTACGATTAATGCATTTAGAAAGTTGAGAAGATTCAGCGAAAAAAGCACAAACACACCTTTGCACCGAGGAAGGGGACGGCTCCAGACTCCGTATGCCGTACAATGAACAGACTTATTCCCAAAGAGGGAGAAGCCGTGTTTGCAGTGGTAGTGCACAAGTGCTCCTACGTCAAAAGTGTCCGAGAAGTGGCTGCTGTGTTCCCCATTAGCAATGCTCGGAGGAGGCAGACACTTCACTGCTGAAAGAGGAGAGGGTGAGAAGGTGACGTTCAATTGTAAAAAAGTATTATTGCCCCTCTTCCCTGCAAAAAGCAGGACAGGTTGGGAGGAGGAGTTCGTGTGTAGTAAATCTTGCCCCTTCTTACACTAGACCTACCTGGCTTTGTTGTGGTGTTGGGGTGATGGTATTGTTCTGCCACTCCATCTAGATGCAGCATTAAGAGTTTAGAATACACATTTGGTTGAGCAAACAAATGCACAAATTTACCTTCATTTGCCATCATCCTGCCTTTACATTTCCAGCAAAAAATTCACTCCTTTCTGATAGTCACTGTCCTGCCATGAAGCTACCAAATTTCTCAGTTTCAGGAAATGAAGACAACATGGATTATGGATTGCAAGAAGCAGGGGGAGAAAAGTGCAAATCACGCTTTTACTTACAGCATTACCCAAAACCTGGCTCATCTCTTGTGTGAGAAGAGTGGCATAAATAAACGGAAAAATTTCTGGCTTCTCCTTGAAGTAGTTGAAGCAAACAGGAAAAATAAAGCCAACTTTGGCTTCTGTGAGTGGGTAGGAGCAGTCGGGAGGAATCTGCAGTGCTAACAAGTCGGAGTGCTGGCACTCACCCTGCTCACAGACGGGCACAGGTGGATCCCAGGTTCTATCAGCTTGGCACTGGGCTCTGCGATGGCCTCGCAAGGTGAAACCTTCGTGGCACTTAAAGCGAACAGTATCTTTGTATGTGTAGTGATGTTTAAGAACAGATACTCTCCCGTTCCAGATCTGTGGGACTGGACACACCACCTCTGAAAAATAAATTCCTTATGTCAAAGAGGGAGCCATCTGTATGCTTAATTGATGCGTATATAAAGTCCATCCTTAACGTGCCACTGCTCAGAGGAGTTTCACAGGTAATACTTGGAGACTCACAGAAGAATAATTTCAAGAACTGAGGGCTTTTGAGTTCCTTTAGGTACCCTGGGTTTACCACATTATTGTGTATATAAACATAGTTCTGTGCCTGTAAGCAGAATAATGCAAATACATTCCAATAAATACATTAAATGGTGTAGAAATGCCTAAGTGCTGTCAGTCATTCTCATGACTGCTTTACTATACCAAGCTCATGCCATCCAAAGCAATTCCATCGGAAGGAAAGACACCTTGCAATGATCAACCCCTGCAAAACAGCCTTGTGGTTTGGATAGCAGAACAGTATTTGGAAGATCTTAGTTCAATTTTACTCAATATCCCACTCTTCTACCGCAAGACGCGTTTCTTCTTTCATTTATTATTTCTTTTTGTGAAACAAAAGGGATGAATCCCTGCAGGCACCTGACAACTCTTCATTCTGCGTAACTCTGAAAGATCAAAAGCTAGCATCTGGAAGACTTTTAGGAGAAACCAAACAAGCAAACAGAAAAAAACAATCTTAGAGGAATATTATGCTTTGAAAGTCTTATTCCTCAAGGCTCTATATATTTTAAGGAAATGCCACTTTTTAATTTTGAGGACTTAATTTGGCAATTCTGGGCCAGATCTAGTGGTGACCTACTTACTCTGACAAATGGGAAGAAGACCACTCCATGCGACATCTGGTCCAAAAATCTCACATCGCCTATGAGGATGTCCAACCAGTCGGTGCCTGGAGTTACAGAGAAAGAACTATCAGTTGATACCAAGTCATTCAGCTCGGATTTTGCACTCCCACTCTGATGCTACCCCCAGAGGTTTCCTTCTGCAGCCTCCTGATTCTGGCTGGTCACCGAGGTGTTTCTGTTGGTTTGACACAGGGGAACGAAGGACCCCAAGTTCCTTCTTCTTAGATCCAAGAGGAACAGCAGTGATCCCAAATGACCCTGGATTAGATTGGTCAGGTGCTAAATCAGGACTCAGAGCCAAGTGATTTCCAAACTGCTGGAGCCTCCTTGCAGCACGTGCTTGCTTGCCCTCTCGGTGTCTGCTGGGGGCCGTCTGAGAAGGCAGGCTGAAACTGAAGCTTGCAAAGTAATCGGGGAAAAATGAGAGACACTTCTCCCTTTCCCAAGCAGGCAACTATGGCATAACTGGAACCAAAATACAAAAGCTCGGAGCCTTTCCTGTAAGTTTCCCAACACTGACCTCAGAAATGGAGCCAGCAAAGGCAGCGCGGGACTCACCCTTCTTCACACGTGTGGTTCACGGTTGACCCAAAAAGGAGATCTGTCAGAACAACAACTCTGCCATTCTTTGGTGTTTCTGGGTATTTACATTGCTTCCCTGAGAAAGAACAAGGTTGAGTTTAAACTCTTCTCCTGCCATTTTGTAATGTGCTATAAGAAAGTACCTTAAGGATCTGTCCACGTTCAGACACCAATAAAGACGTGATTTTTAGAAGGCCAATAGCTGCCCAAACTATGTGACTAGTGAAGCCATGTATGAATCATTTTTTTAAGAACTGCTTTAAGAAACCCACAAATGTAGCTTAGACAGTTTTTAACAACCAAGACCAAACGGAGTGAGCTATTCACTTTTGCAGAACGCTAGCGCTTCAGACCACGTGTGGTTTTTGAGGCATGTCAGAGTTGGGGATGCTCCGGGGTGTCTCATGAATCCGGGCTGGCAGCTGTATCGCACAGTGTCCCCAACAGCAAACTCCGTCAGGTTTCTGTATTCCTCAGGGAGCTCCGCAAAGGTTAAGTTGGGAGGTGCACCACAGCCACCTAGCAGGAAAGAAAACGCGGGGAGAAATGGAGATGTCAACTGCACAAAGTTGTTTTAAAATGTATATCGGGTACACATAGATAATAGTTTACAAGCAAAACTGAAAACCAAGAGGAAGGACTGAAGGATTCAAGATTTTGGAAGGAGTAAGGGAAAGGACGAGTCCTAAAAGCTTTCAATGGCAGAAGCTCCTGGACTATCCACAACTCCTGTCTTGAAACCACGGTGTACCTGCACAGCGAGGAGGAGGAAGGCTCCAGTTCCCAGAGTCGGTGCAGTAAATGGATGCCTCTCCCAGGAGGCTATAGCCAGGCTCACAGCTGTAATTTACAGCCATCCCAGTAGTGAAAACATCCAAGTCCTGACTGTTGTGATTTCCTTTGTCGATGTTTGGAGGTGGAGGACAGTGCAGCACTAAAGAGAGGACAAAACAAAATATTTGAAAAAAGGGCATGGACAGGGTAACGTGCAGGAAGGATGGATGCACAAAGCCACCAAAGTGAACGCAGCTCCTGC